GGCCCTGGCCCAGGCTGCCCAGGGCAGGGGCTGAGTCCCCATCCCTGGAGGGATTTAAAAGCCGGGGAGATGTGGTGCTTAGGGACATGGGTCAGTGGTGGCCTTGGCAGTGCTGGGTTAGCGGTTGGACTCGATGATCTTAAGGGTCTTTTCCACCTTTAACGATTCTATGATTCTACCCCAGGGAGCTCCTGCTCCACTCTTGGTCCTGTTCCACAGTGGCTGCTCCAGCGGTGAGTGGCCAAGTCCAGCCTGGGGCACCGAGCTGCTCCCCGCGGTCCCTCCAGATGCCGAGGGAGCCGTGAAGCAGCCAGGCTTGGACCAGCTGCTGGTTTCAGCAGTCTCACACTGGTAGGCTCTTTGATTTTTCTGCCTTTGATATTGCTATCAGTGCTACCAGCCCTGCTGTGCCACAGCACAACACAGCCTTTCTCGGGGCCGCAGCTCCATTGCTTGCTGCACGTCTGTACGTGGCCGTACATTCGTACACGTGTACGTCTGTGTGTCCAGACACAGGATGCATATGGGACCCAGCCCAAACCCCACCAGCGGCGGCTTTGGTTCGCCCATCGCCCACGTGGCAGGGAGGCAGCGGGAGCTTTGGAGGGTGTTCAGGCTTGAATTGCTCATGTTTGTGTGTATTTGTGCACAGTCAAACTTTCAGGAAAGCAAAGCAAATGTGGATGTAAACCCAGAGAGGCTGGGCTGCAGACGGGTATTGCCGTGCCAAAGGGCTTCAGCGCTGGGGACGCTTGCCCTGGTGCGGAGAGGGGACAGTCCCAGTCCTGCTGACCCCGTCCTTCCATGCGGTGCGTTAAGCAGCACACCCCAGCATGTTCGTCTGACTGACGGTCGTTTATATATCATTTCTTAATATAATTTCTTAACGTTCCCCTAGTGCCGCATGTTCAATGGCAGCGCATGCTGCGTTGGTCTGTGTTCAGGGATATACAGACCCCGAACAAACAAGCCAGGCAGGTCCCTGTGGGGCTCTGTACCAGCTCTCCCGTGCCCTCATTGCTGCCAGTACCTAAAAGGAGGTAGCAGGAGGTACGCAGAGCCTTGCTCAGGGCTGAAGGGTCTCGCCCTGTGGCACAGACAGAGAGGCGTCGGGGCGGTGGAGACCTCAGGTCTGCGGGAAGCGAGGATGCCTCCGGCATCCTGCGTTGGCGAAGGGCTTCCCAAGGACCCGCACCCGAGGGATGGGGGGCTCTCAGCACGTTTTGTTCAGCTGGACCCTATCTGCTCTGTGTTCTCACCTGGCCAGGGCTGCTGGGGGGGACACAGAGCTTTCAGCTTCTGAAGAGCCTCTTTGTTTCTCTCCCAGCCGTGATCTGAGAGCTGGCTTGCATGAGACAAAGTCTCTCCAGGCCATTTCGGATTCCCAGTGTAAAACTCCAGTTTGATCATAAATAAAGCTCAAGAAGCCTCATTCATCTAAAGAGACACACTGTTCTGGCTGCAGAACACATCAAGGCTCCTGCAGGCTGGAACAACTGAAAAACCCCTTTGCAGTTGGGACAACGGGGTAATGATCCCACGGTGGGGAAAATCTAGAGAAGACATCAGCTGTTAAACATTGTAGGATGTATTTACAATATTGTCTAATGAGTGTATGGAATATACACGGGAATATCTATAGAGACCAGCTGTGCTGGCTGTACGAGCTTTGGACACCTCCCAGCCCCTCTCAAACGCTATGAACCGAGCACAGATGCTGTCTGTCTGCTTTCGGCCCCACAAAAGCGCACCCCATCTCTCCGCCGAGGAGCACCATTTTGCATTAAGCTGTCTCTCCGCCGGCCGAACGCTCAGCCTCTCTGCAACAGCAGCTCCGGACCGACAGCCGCTAACGTCGTGCCGGCGCCCCCAGCCGCTGCAGCAGCTGCTCTCTGGCCAGGTCTCTCACCTCAGATGCTGGGTAAAGGATTAGATTCGATGACACAAATAAGGACAAAGCCTTTTCAGTAAAACTTAGTCATATTTACATATTTTTCACGATTGAATGTATCCATTATTGCTTTCCTGGAGTGTGATATATTCCTTTGTGCATTGCTTCTTTCTGAAAGCCAAAAGGGAGTAGGGACTTATGTAGGACTAAGATGTAAGGCTTAAATCTTAAATGATGTTAAGAAATGATACATAAACTGAAATCCAGACAGGATTTCAACCTTCACATGGGCCATTGCTGCTGTCAGCCAAACAGTGGCATTTCTATAAAAATCCCAATGTAAATATTTGTTCTAAATCAGGTTCTTTCTCTCCTTTTGCCTTGGCTGGAATATAACCAAGGGCGCTTATGAAATTCTCTATCATTTCAAGAGTAATTGCTATTGAAAGCTGGGGGGTTGTTGTCTGCCCTGCATGCCTCCCCCTTGGGATAATCTCTTGGTTTGGTTTCGTTCCTCAAATTCCTTCCCCCCAGACAGTGAGTTTTGCAAAGGCCAAGGTGTTTTCCTCCCCTAAAAGCGTCTCTTGTTTGCTAGCCCTCCCTGCCCCGTCAGCAGACAAACTGGGGCACGCTGGTGAAGGAGGGTGAACATTTGCCCCTGCTAACCCTTGGATTATTCCCACTTTTCAGATGCCATCTGTGTGAGACGGTTTGGTTTGCACTAAATACAGCCTGTGGGCTGAGCTGAGAAAACAGATTGCTGCACCACTGTGTTAAATAATCGTCATTAAAGTCCCGTTCACTGGGGAACTTTAGGCTGCCATGGAGGCTTCTGGGGGGGACATGCAGCTCGCTTCCACACCAGGACGCTGAAATCAGATTTTAATTTAAGTTTTGCTCACGCCCTCGGTCGGCAGCACTGTCACCTGGGATCTGCAGGACTTCTTGCCCGCGGTTTGCAGGCAGGGTGATGGCAGCAGGCAGGGTGATGGCAGCTGGCAGGCCGGCAGGGCAGGCACCCCCCGCGCTCTGCTCCAGCTGCTCCCCGCCTGGGTTAGTGCAGAAAAGGGGTTCTCGCTGCCTCTCCCCCTGTCTTTTCTTTCTGTCTTTCCCCAAGCCCTCGATGCTGTAAGCAGTTTCAAACCCAAACTGAGCAAATACTCTTCAGTTCAGCAACGTTTTACATCGCGAATCGCCAGGCACAGACCCGTGTCCCACCGGCCGCGGCTCTGAAGCATCCACAGGCAGGCACGATGCAGAAAGGTCCTTTTAATCCCTCTGCCCCTGCAGAGGAATGGCAGAGCTCCAGAGCCCGTGTGACCGCGTGGAGATCCCTGCCCTTCGGCCCGTACAGATAGGCAGATAAAAGTATTTTATCCTTGCGGTAGCTTTTTACGTTTGGGATCAGTACGTACGTCTAGTGTGCTGCTTCTAGCTGATTTATTTTTGCGTACAATAAGGAAAATAACCTGAAGTTTTAATTCGCCTTCTTACCCAAAATATTTGAAGTTTAACAAAATATTTGGGTTTTTTGTCTACTAAATATTGCACTTGCTGTGAGTATATTTACGTTAGTCTTCTACAAGCTCTGTTGGCATCCGTGTATTTCCACGCTGAGTGAGAGGACTCGGCACGCTCATGAGCTCGAGCCGCGGCTCTTTCTTGGTCTCCTCTTCTTTGTAAACTGCGATTTCAGCCAGTTGAAGAAGCCACCTTTTTTTTCTAACTCAAACTCTACAGGGAAGTGGTCGCTCACCCCCAGCGCCTGCAAGACAACGGCACCAAGGGGTTGGGAGCCAGCCGCCCATGCTTTTTCCAAACCCTGCCCCGGGGGGTTTCACCAGGCGGCGGGGAGGTGGCTGTGGGGAGGTGGCTGTGGGGAGGTGCAGTGCGAGCATTGCATCACTTTGGGAGGATGAAACGGTTTTATGGATGAGACCATGTTCAAAACAGCCTGGATACCATTGGCTTTGGCTCCCGTGTTAGCCCTTGCCCCGCTGCCGCAGAGGCCATGCTGTGCCTACCTGCTCCTCCGTCATCTGAAAGTCCTCCTGGAAATCAAAGATATTGACGGAGTGTGGCGTGATGGCGTGGATGAGCTTCTGCCCACTGACCACGATCCTGCAAGGAGCAAGGGAACGGGGTGCTGTTATGGGGTGCCTGACCAAAGGCAGCCGTGCTGCACCGAGCCAGTGGCCAGAGAGGTGGCCTTGCTGGAGTCACAGCTACGTGTGGTTTGTCCTTTCCCATGGGCTGCCTAAGAGATGCCAACGCATGCTTTCTGCTGAGTTTGGCTGATTGCTTTCCTTGGGAGTGAGACACCTAAATACCTTGGTGCGTGTTGGTTAAATGACTTGTACCTAAACCCACCCCAACAGTACTGCAAAGTTCAAAGCTGTACTTTGGATGCCAAAATCGTAGGACACCAATGACTGGAGTCTCAGTGAAGTCCCGCTTTGATCCAGAAGCTCGTTCTGCAAGAGGTTTAAGTCTTGACTTATTCTGGGCTCTAATAAGCTGTTGTGTTTATTGTCCCTGCTGAGGGAGCTGCAGGCAGCAGCAGGACTCACCATGTGCCCGGGGAAGGCGAGGCGTCCCACCTCCCGAGCAGAACTGGATTTTGCATTTGTCCGTCCAAATTACGAATGCAACAGCAAAAACCATGGTGCAAAGCAGGCACGGAGGAGGCAGCAGCGCCTTCTGCCCGGGTGCCTGCAGGGCTCTGCAGGTGAGAGGAGCTGCGTAATTGCCTGTCCTGTATCTCCACCTCGGCCACAGCAATGGCTGGTTCTTGCGTGAAATCTTGCCCTTTCTGCAACACTGTTTGCCAACAAGCCTTTCCATATATTTTTTTTCGCAGAAACAGGGAACGGCTTGGCCGTGCCCCCTTTACCTGTCATACGGGCAGCTTGTGCTTCTCTTCACCGTCGTGTCATTTCTGTCGCCGATGAGCCAGACAAATTCAGAGTCAGTCCTCAGCCGGATGTTCTTCCACTGCTTTTGGGGAACGTAGCTACATCCAGCATTGAAGTCCCCCAGGAAGATGAAGTTCTGGAAAGTAGGAGAGTTTTCAAAAGTAATCATGAGGACAGCTCTTCAAAAGAAGACCGGCAAGGACTTTTAGGGTCGATAGATGCTCCCAGTAGCCCATACAGCTCAAACAGCGAGCGCTCGTTGAGTGCAGTGGGACTTCTCCTTTCTGCTGGGTGCGCCACCAAGGCCTGCTGATAAACAGCAGTTTTATCGGGAGAGCAAGTTTACCGATTAAAATGTGGAGAACTCTATGAAAATACATCAAAGAAATACTCAAAATCTGGGGCTTGTTATCGACGGTTTTAAGGTTATCAGGCTGTGAATAGCGAATAGCGCACCTGGTGACTCGGTACCAAAGCCGCTGTTAGTAACGTAGATGTGTCAACTAACCTCAGTTTTCCAGCGCTGTTTTAAATCTAAATACACATCATAGAGCTCATCAATCTCCCGTACTGCTGTCTCCGGCGTGGTGTGCAGAGGGATTATAGCAAACTCTTTGACAGCTTAAAAACAAGGCAAAAGAACAGGAAAAAATGTAATGGTTAAACACAGACCGGATCACAAAGAAACAGAGATTGACTTGGAAGAAAGAAGGTTTTTCTGAAGAAGAAACAGCTTCTGTTCTGGCTGTGGGTCAGAGGCGTTTGCTGTGTAATTGCACAGTGCTCCCCATCCGCTGCCCTGCCGATGCTGAGCTGCGACACGGCGAGGTGCTGCGACACGGCGAGGTGCTGCGTCAGGGCAAGGCAAACCCTGCTCCGACACCCGCGGCTCCTGGGGCCGCGCCAGCGGCATGGAGCACATCCACTAAACCACTGCCCACGGCAGCGGCAGAGGCTTTCCTGGGGCTGCCGGCCGCGGGGCTGTGGCGTGCGCGGAGCTGCGGGCGATGCCGGAGGCAGCAGCCCCGAAGGCAAATGCTGCTCTTGTAAGGAAACGAAGCGTGGGGTCAGGATGCGGCCCCAGCACCAGCCAGCACCATCTTGCTCCATGAGACTTGCCAGTGGGAGAACAATTTGTTTCTGAAACATCTCACCGGTTTTTGGAGACCGGAACCAGACGGCAAAGGGCTCTCTGGAGAAGGCATCCTCGTCCCCAGGCTGGGTGTCAGGGTACTGGTAGGTTTGTTTCACCGATACCAGATGTCGCCTGCAGCAGAATAAAGAGGACAGGGGATGTCACGCTCGTGGCTCGCCGGGATGTGTTGAACGCTGACTCCATGCTCTGACCTGGACCCCAGGCCGTGGTCTGGGACGGACACAGCCGGGCTGGTGGCTGCGCCTGGGACGATCCCCAGCCAGCCCATCCCAAACGCACAGCCTGCCCCTCTCCAGCTCCCTCGGAGCAAAGCCGTCACCACCATCTCTGCGGCGCTGCGACACGGGAGGGCAGAGTAAGGGGCCGGCTGGCGAGGGGAGCGCGCTGACCTGTAGATGAAGGCGTACTGCTCCTTGTAGCTCTTCCTTCCCAGCCTCTCGCTGACCACGCAGTCGCATTCCTCCTTCGGCCCCTTCAGCTGACTGGAAGGAAAGTGGCGGTCCTGAGTTTACTTCTGCATTCACAGGGGGCTGAGGAGGAGATAATTTTGCCTGTGCCCGAGGGTGTGGGACGTTGCCTGCCTGACCTCGGAGTCAATAAACCCCTCTCGGGAGCTGTGGTCTGGACCTGTGCTCCATCGCCGGCCCTTTCACTCTGCCCCCTCCCTGCTCCTTGCAGCCTCTGTCTCTCTCTCAGCTGGGTCTGGGGTCCGGCCAGGCACACGCTGCTCTGTCCCCCGGACCGTCGGGCCAGGCAGGCAATCCCCAACCCAAAGCAAGTCGTAACCCTGCAGAAAGGCAGCTGCCCTGCCGCAGCCTGGTGCTAGCCAGGCGAGGGCCTGTTCCTCCCTTCTGCTTTCCTTTGAGAATTAATCTTTAACAAGTTGAATCTAACTTGGTTGTATTGATTTAAAAATACGTGTCCTGCAGTGGTCTGGAGCTGGCTTTGCTCCTGGCCTTCGGCGAGGCCGCCAGAGCCTGGTCCTTCCCCGACGGCTGGGACAGAGCCCAGACCCTGAGCTTTCGCCCCGGTAAGGCGGCGCTGAGCCAAGCAGGGGCTCTTACTAAGCACCTCTCCCAGTGTTTGCCTCCTTGCCCGTGGCCACCCTACCTGGTGAGCTTCTCCACCAGGAGAGGACAAACCCGGTTCTTGTTGTCCTTTATTTCCATCAGCAGCATGATGTCACAGCGAGAAATGATCTGCAAGGGGAAGGAGCAGAAGCAAGTTTGCACGCGGTGGGTTTTGAAGGACTAGGAAGAGGTCAGAAAGAAGTGGTTACTGGTGCGGAGGAAGTCCTTTGTGGAAGAAGCGCTGCCCAGCCCGGGGTCGTGGGAGGAGGGCAGCGGCCAGAGCAAAGCCCTTCTGCTTTCAGAGCTGCCTCGCGCCCGCGCGGGAGCTGGGAGAGGGAACTTGAGAGCAGAGCGGTTTCGTGTTTGTTGAAAAGCTTCTGCGCCTGCCCCGAGGAGGAACCGTGGAGGAGAAGGGGCAGTGAGAGCCGCTGCTGCCAGCCTGCTCTCCCCCCACCTACGCTCGGTTGCGCTTTTCTCTCCTCCCTGCCCCTCGCCGCGTAGGTTCTCGTCTCTGCTTCGGACCAGTGCTGTGCACAAGCATCCCAACTCACTGGGTGCCCAGATGGATGTGGCAGGAGGATTTGGGGGCATGGAGGAGAGCCTGTTTGCATCTAGCATCAATCCACTGCAACGGTTTCCATCCTTTTTCTGGTGCGCGTACCACTAAGGTCCTATCGCTACGCCATGCCTTCCAAAAACTATGTGTGCTGTCAGCATTTGCCTGTCCCAGTCATCCCTTGCAGACCCCTCTGAAGTAGCACATAGAGCCCAAAGCGACCCCCGGTCTGAAAACAGGGTCCCAGCAGCCGTGGGCTGCCGCACCACAGAGGAGCCGCAGGGTGCTGGGGAGCGGGGGAGGCTGCCCCAGCCGGGCTCGGCTCCCGTGGCCGCTGCTGGGATTCCCTGTGGGAAAGCCCGGCTCACCCCGCAGCCCGGCATGCTCAGGGGCTTCCTTCTGCCCCCGGTTTTGTCGCTCTTCGAACTTTGCGGGTGATATTCATGTAAAAAAGCCCCTTTTTGCCCCCTGAAACTTGTAAGAAATTAATATAGTGACCATAATTTAGTATATATTGCCCATAGTGCTGACAGAATAGGAAGAAGGATCCAGAAACGCAAACCTCAGCAAACCCCTCTCCTCCAGCTGTTTGGAAGGGAAGGATTAAAGCCCAGCTGAAGGGCGGCGTTCCTTGCTGCTGCCGCTCGGCACAGGCAGCCGACCCGCTGCCACCGACCACCGCATCCTCCGTTCCCCCGGCGTCTCGGAGGGGACTTGCAAAAGCCCTCAGTCCAAAACACGGTTCTTTTAAAAAGCTGAGTTATCTTCAGCTGCTGCAGAGGAAGCCTGATGGAGAGGGTCTATTTACATAAATTAGTAATCAGGCTTTTCAATTTTGTACCACACGCTCATATGCGACTCTCTGCTGTCCTGAGAATACGTTTAATTAGACAAGAATATTACGGAATAATTAGCACGTAAGCAAGGTAAATAATGAATCACAAAACAAAGCTCTGTGGATTCAAAATGAAAAGTATTTTTACTGTGCACAGAGGTTTTCTTCCTTTCCTAACCCCATTTCCAAAGGAAACAGCAAATGTTGTTTCTTTTATATTCCCATGCAGGCTAAAATAACAGCAAACACCCTAGTCAAGCACAGGCTGATTTTTACTTTAGGATCATAAAATGATTTAAATTATTAACTCTTTTTTTTTTTTTTTACTTGAAATTCAACTATGGAAAATAAATAAAGTGCAAGATTATGTAGCTAAGAAAACCTCGGACAGCTCGATGTCTGTCTCATCCAGGCAAACACACGTACCTTTACCACGGCATCGACGACTTCAGGTCTGGCTATTTTTGTTTCTCCGAAAGACCTCACATTGAAGGAGCAAATTTTTAAGCTCAGAGACGGGTTGAAATTGAAGAGCGAAAGCAAGATGAAGAGCAACATCTTCAGGGACTTGGACAAAATGAGTCGCTGCGAGTGTGACTATAAATATATATGTGTGTGTGTGTGTGTGTGTGTGTGTTTGGGCATCCGTCGCTCTGCGGCCAGCTGGGAGGTCGAACGGAGCAGTCAGCTGGGTCGATCACGAACACGAACAGGAATCGCCGTTTCCTCCTTTCCCTCACTTCCATCTCCCCGCACCAAGCAGCACGGAGAGTTTGAACTTCTGCCTTGGGGGAAAACCAGCTTTTCTGAGCCAACCTCTCCGTCCTGGAGGAGCAACTGCTCCGCCAGACCCCAGCACCCCTCCCCACAGGGAGGCACCCGCTGTGGGATGCCTGCCATGCCTGGGCACCAGCCGGGACCACCCCGGGCAGTGCCGGGCCAGGACCAGGCTCCCTGGGCCACCCCAGGCAAGAGGTCAAGAGCCTGCAGGACCAGGAGGTGGATGGGGCCGATGGTGAAAGGGTCTGGGAAGCAGTGGGGGGGGAGAGGCGTTCCTGGAGGGCACTGGTGGTGGGCGCAAGAAGCCCCAGTGAAAGGCAATGGTGGTGGGACACCCTGGACACGGAGGTTTTGACCGTGTCCCTGTTTTGTTCTGCTTTTGCCTTGGTCAGAAAGTCACGCCGTGAGAAAGCGATAAACCGCCCAGTGCCCCAGGCCACATGCTTTTATCTGCTTCTCCCTTTGCCCGGAGCTGTGGTGTGCCCTGCCGTGGGACAGTTACTGCGGGACGGCCACGTTCATTTGCCCTCAGCCGGAGATGCATCTGTCAGCCCCCGATCGGGTATCATGGTGGGAGGTATAACAAGAAGTCAGGCTAAATGGCGTCTTCAGCTGTCTTGGATTTTTCTCCCTCTGCTTACAGGGGGCTTTCCCAACCCCTCTCCTTTTCCTGAGAACAGCCACGGAGGCTGCTTGCGCCCTGCTGCCCTGCCTGCACGGCCACCCGTGCAGATCCAGATCCAGAAGCACCAGTGCATGGCTCCCGACCCCGTCTAAATCAATCCAACAGGATCAGATGGAGCTGGCACAAAGCACAGTGCATGGGGGGCTCCCAAAAATGCATCACGACAGACCACAGCGAGACCCCAGCCTTGCTGGGGGAGGCGGCTGCGGCTCTCCAGAGTGCATGCTGCGAGCATGGGAACGGGCACCACAAATCTGTTTTGGCTAGGCAGGGATTTGGAGCAATTGCTGCTAGCAAGGGGCATGCTGCCCTGCTGCCCTGGGGCTTGCTAATGAACACAGATGCTTGGGGAGCAGGCGTGTGGTCCTCCAAAATAACAGGGGTTGTACGGTGGTTTCTCTCTGCTGGGTCTCTAATGAGGCAGCCTCGGGCAGGACAGGCTCAGGGGGAAACCGATAAAGAGGGAGGGAAAGCAACAGCTTTAGGGGTTGTAAATCTCCCACCTGACCCTGCTAGAAGTGTAGCGTGAGCCAAGGGCTTGCGACGGCGGCTGCAGCCTCAGGGTCAGCGTCATCAAAACCTGGAGCTCCCCAAAACCAGGCTCGCTTTGGCTGCTCTGGCATCAAAAAGCAAATGTTTGTTGGGGTGCCTATGAGGGCTTTAACCCTGAACCGCAGGGACCCGCCTTTGGCGATGCCGTGTTTGTCCCCAGCATGGCTCGCTTACCAGTCTCCCCTTTCCCCTCCAGCCCAGGCGTTATCAGCAGGACGGGCAGAGCCACCCCCGCAGGGACAGCAGCGAGGTGACCTGCAGGAAGGACGCGGGGAGCTCATGCTCCTTTCTGCACCACTTTATCTCTCTGTTTACTGCACTTTCTGTGCATGTACTCTTTGCTCCTTATCAGGCCATAAAACCTGCTTGACGCCGGCTTGTGAACCCTGCCAGTTCAGGGCTATCCTGGTCTTGCACAAGAGGGGTGAAGCTGCTGGTGAAACCAACGTGGGCTGGGTTTTTGCCCCTACTCTGAATGATGCTGGGTGACGGACGCCAGCTCCAGCTGAGCAGCACCTGCGGGACATTTCCTAATAAAGCCCCTCCTCAGCCCTCCCTGCTCTCAGGGGAGAAGAGGCAGTGATAAGGCTGCAGGCAATGCAAAGCCAGCTGGGCAAGAGCTTAGAGCAGTGAGTAGGTGCTGCCTAGGCCCTGCCTGCTCCTCCTGGGCATCCTGCAGCTCAGCTTTGCTGACAGCCCGTGCTGGGCTTCCTGCGGCCGCAGCCCTGGCCACCTCGCGGGGCACCCACGGCTTTGTTTTTGCTGGCAGAGGTGGACTGAGAGGATCTCCGACGTTTCCTGTGTCTCTCTGGGAGGGCTGCGGGGAGAGGCTGTGGGCGAGCCCACATCCCCTTCTGCTCTGGCGGAGGAAGCCTGTTCGGGGCTCGAAGGGCAGCGTGACGCACCGGGTGCTCCCGGCGGGAGCACTTGTGGGGCACGAGGTCGCCCTGGAGCTTTGCTCGGCGCCTGAAAATAACGCTGAGGCTTTATTTCTCCTCCCGTGGGCAAAACGTGGTGTCCGTGTGCTGGTTGGGGGTTTAGCACTGCTGGGGACGCCCCGGCCCGTCAGGGAGTCCCTGCTGCCCCATTCGGCACCCCCATAAGCCTGTCCCCCCAATGGGGAGCCCACGGCTCTGGGGGAGCGCTGGCAGAGGGTGCTGTTGGGGTGCGGGGACCGGCACCGCCGGGCTGGTGCTCCCCAGGTGCCACCACAGCTCTGTTTCCCAGACAAGGGGCCCATGCACTCCCCTTCCCATGTGCCAGCCTTTAAGGTGGTGGGTGTTTCTTAATTTTTATCATTTTTACCCAAATTGCAGCTCTGTCAACATCCGCCGCGGCAAGGGGAGGTCTGCGGGAGAAGCGGGAAGAGCCAGCCCCGAAGTCACCAATGTCACCGTAAAAGTAGGTTCCTTTGGGCAAATGAAATGACCTTTGGGCTCTCAGTGACCTTATCACAACCATCAGGCAGTGTATTTTATCGCAGTCTCCTGGAATTTCAAGTTAATAAATAGCAAAGTGCTCGGGCCATTCTGGATTGCTGAAGTTCACAGTTGGGCTGCAGGTTGAATGCGGTCATTTGGGAAGCGGCTTCGGTGTCAATCTGATGGCGATAAGTGTCCCAGTGTGACCCCCTGGAAATCCAGTGTAATTGAGGGTAAAAATATGTGGCGTGCAAGATACACGGTATGTTTTGAATCAATAGGGTCTTCTTCGATACTTAATCTTTATTTATAATTCTGGAAGGTACATGTTCTACTTAATAAATTTCTGTCAGGGCATAATTCCTTTGCTGGTACAAGGACTCTGATAAGGTTTTCTCTTTCAACTTAATATGTCAGTATTGTTGAAGTAGTGGTTTAAAGCGTGAAAGCCTGCCCGCTAAAGCAGTTCAAGGAAAAATGCCTCATCGTGTTTTCAGTTTCTTGAACGAGGCCACTTAGCTGAGACGTAGCAGAGCATGCGGTAATCTGAAATAAAGGCTGTGATGCATGGCGATTAGGCAAGGCTTTGAAGTTACCCCTCCGCAAGGGTACTGCGGCCACCAAATAAGGAGGGGTTTGTGACAATAAGTGCACCCTTACTGTTAGCAGTTAAAAATGTAATTAAAATGTGTGTAGTATATGCATTGACTTTGAGCAGAGTTAAGAAAGTATTATTTAAAGCTGTTAACAGGCAAGTAGGCCTTGCTTTATAATGTTTTAAAAGTCAGGAGCATTTGTTTGTCCCAGGTTGTGCAATGCAGCTGCTGAGGAGTGATGGGGCGGCTGCCCAGAGCAGTGCCGGAGGCGGTATTTACCTCTCCCTGCAAGCTGCTGTTTGCAAACGGGGTGAGCTGGGATCTCATTGATTGAATTTGGATTGAATTTTGGCAGCTCTATGTCATCAAAGTTGCCCTCTCACGGCAAGGCGTTGCTCAAGAGCAGGTCCCATGGGTGGGCTGTGGCACCATGCCGGGATGGTGGGACGCCCGCCCACCCCGGTGCTCTCCCATGCCCACGGTTCCCTGGGGATTGCTTGCAGCACTGTGCCGCAGGGCCAATGCTGCGTGAGTGGAAATAGACGGGGACGAGTCACCCTGGGAAGATGATTCACTTTGCGAAAACGGCGTGCCGTCACTTGTTATGGTTGCAAACCATCTTGCCGTGCTCCCTGGGGATTCATCACCCAGCAGTGGAAAATAACGTGGAAGCCTTTCATCTGGTGGAGCAATGCTGCTCCTCAGCTTGGTGAGGTAGAAGCTTCAGTTCTCCACAGCTACCCTGGCCTGAATCCAACCAGAGCTGTCACCTTCCTGTGGAAAACAAGACAGTTTATGTGGAAGTCTCACTGTCTCGTTTCTGGGGACATAGGAGAGCTAATTCTGGTTTGTTTGTTTTTTTTTTTTCCTGTGGCTACTCTGATTTAGAAAGACATTGTGTTTCTAACTGGATGATAAGTCATCCTCTGCCCTGCTGACAGCATCAAAGCTGTGCTCCTGTGCCGGCGGGAAGCCTGGCTCCTGACGCTGGCATTAGGAATGAGGAATTTTCAGCCGAGGGCCAGGATAGCTGGCGCTGGGCTCTGAAACGCCGGCAGCCTCGCGGTTGATGCAGGGGTGACTTGGTCCTCGCCAGCTGCCGCAGCTGTGTAATGAGTTGCGTCTGTGGGCTGAGAGGAGAAATAAAATGCACGGGGCAGGTCAGTGCAGGTGCCGGCCTTTAATTTGAGCTGGCCATGCCACAGCCGCCCCCAAAATGGCTTTGTGGGGTCTTCAGGGAGGTGCCCAAGGAGCTGCTGGGGCTCCCCCTCAGGCCCGGGGCTCATCTGCTCTCTGCAGGGACAGGGAGCCCAGCCGTGCCCCGCGCTCCCAGAGAGCCCGAGGTCTCTGCTGTGCTGGGGTGGAGGAGCAGCCTTGGTCCCCACCCGGCAAATTCATCACGGTGCTGCCAGCCACCTCACCAGGGCCATCACCTGCTGGAGCCGCGGCCTCGTCCCAGCGGCGGCTGGCTCAGGAGACCCCTGAAATTCCCCCCTTTCCCCATCGCTGCCAAGGGAAACACTT